TATAAATATTCCCACCATGGCTGATTTAAAACTACCACTATGACATCACTGAATGCCAATTTGGAAAGAGATGTGCAATAGTACACTATTATGTAGTATTTCTATATACAAGAGGCATAACTAACCCAAGAGCATAGACAAAGGTAAAATGTAGTGAAATAATTTGGGAATAATGAGTTGTATTTGTTACCTTTGAAACAAAAGTTTATGTATTTAATTTTTAACAATGACCATTTAACAGCCAGCTTACAAAATTCCTGAAAATTTAGCAATGGGCTGTTACAACTTGATGCAAGCCAGTTCCAGCACAACCTTGCTTATAGGGGAGTTGAACATGTTTTTCTCTGTCCCTTATATTTCTGTGTTTCCTGAAAATTAATAGAGAAATGCAGAGGTTTGATCAAATTCAGGTTCAGCTTTTCTTGCATGATTATTTCATAGGTTGCGGAAGGCCACTGATCATCCTTGCCTTTATCCATTAATTCATTAGGGCTGCAAATAGGTGATAGTTCTAATTCTGTCATTCTTTCTTCATTTGTTATCTGGGATTATAGGTAAAGAAAATCTTACCTAGAACTAGTCCATTACACTGGGGTATCAATTCATTTAGGAAATGCAGGCTAAATAAAAGGCATTTATTGCTTACCTTTCATTTATCCATTTTTCAGAGTAATGAGTTAGCTTTCTAGCACACTTCAGAGGTGCCAATGACTTTTTTGATTTGATGTGTTTAGATCCACTGAGATTTTATTCTTATGAGTGCTTAACCTGACCCAATTTTTTTGCTAGAAGTACCTCGTTCAGTTGATTTTGGATCCTTTACACAGACACTTAGTGGTTTTTGTTTCCTTGCTCCCTAGTAAGACACTTTGTTCCTGATTTTTCACCTGTACTTCCTACCCCATATTTCATACTTCACACCAAGTCATCTTCCCAAGATATATGCCTTTAACGGAATATGGTATTTAGAGACCATAGTTTGGACACAAGGGATGCTCACTGCTACTGGGTTCTTGATTGTTTCTAGGACATTCAAGTGGATGGAACTGAGTGCACACACACACAAATATTTTTAAGATAAAATATATTATGAGTTATTTCCATTTAAAATTTAGGACTGCAGGATTTTTAGCTAAACTTTCTCACATTTGTCTCTCTTTTTCTTTCATGTTCAAAATCCCAGTTATCAGTAATATTATTCTTTTGCCACACATAGAACAGTCACAAATAACATTACCAACACTACCTCTGATAGTATGATTACTAAAAATGTATATATAGATGAGTAGTCAAATTCATATTTTAAAGGTACTTTACTTTCTTCTGATGGGTTATATCACCAACTTGATAAACATTTAAGTTAATGTGATTAATTTTGTTTTCAAATTTTAGAGATTAAGAATTTTAATTTAAATCTATTTTGTGCTTACATGAAACGTACGTGTCTCCAAAGTTCAATCTGATATGATGTTTTCCAGCTTTCTTCTATCCCTGTTCTTTCCCTGGTTTATGTTACAGTTTAAGAAAATGAAATGTATATGAGTTTCCTCTGCTATCCAAAGTACAGTATTCCAATAAAACATTTTGTGAGCTGAAATAGCATAAAATGAAAAAGGAATTACCATTAATGTACATGGGCAAAAATTTTTGGGGGTTTCCCATTTCCCAAAAATAACCTCTCTTAGACTTTTCTGATACCATAGGACATGTCTTGCTAAGAGATGCACAAAATAAATCAAGGTAAAGCACAGATGCTCATAAATTCAATTCAAAGCTATGGCAGCTTGATACTGAAATGCTGAATACCATTCCCAGGGAAAGCGCTTGGTGGCGCCACTCTCACTGTCCGGGGTGCGTGCTGCTTCTACAGTGGCTCACGGCAAAACGGGTGCTGAATGCTGTTTTCACTTTTCACCTTTTTTGATAAAAGCAAAACTTCGGATTCTCTCAGCAAAACAGGTACTAATGTAGGTCTTTTGTAAAAAAGACTGCAAAAAAAGGAGGAGCTACCTATATGTATTTGTAGGTCTGTATCTCTTAGGTGAATGGTAACATACATTCCACCTTGCTTTTCTATCAGTATATCTGAGGTGCTCTGTAGCAATATAGAGAGATATTCCTCATTACTTTTTAAGTTGCTTAATATTAATGTTTAACATTCATCATTCTTTTACCAAATTTCTCTCTAGATGAGTTTGGGTTTCCAGTATTTTGCTATTACAGAGTCCTAATGTCTTCCTATTTTTGCCAATATATATTTGGGATATATTTTAGTATTAGTATTTTTCAACATTTTTTTATAAAAAATTTCAAATCCAGCAAAGTTTAAAGAATTTTACAACTATACCCACCACTTAAACACAAAAAATATAGAATTTTTGTGAAGCATATAAAAATAAGTGTATATTCTTTGTCTTGACAAATGCATATACTTGTGAAACCCAAACTCCTGTCAAGATACAGAACATTATCATCATCCCAGAAAGTTCTCTCTTGCTTCTTCAGAGGCAACCACTGCTTTGATGTTTTTTCTACCATCAGCTTAATATTTTAAAGTCATTTTACAAATGTGCCTATTTTGCATGCTCTATGATTAGGCTCACTCCTGATTTTGCTTATATTTTTCATATCATTAACCTGTAATCTAGAACCTTGTTACATCTGCCCTTCAGTGGAGTATTATACATAGATTTGATTCCCTTCCCACTGTTTTCTTTTAAACTTTACTCAGATATAATTCCCATACTATACAATTCAGCCACTTAAATTGTACATTTCAAAGGTTTTTGACATATTACATTATTAATTTTTTAATTGTAAAATATATAACAACAAAATTTGCCATTTTAACCATTCTTAAGTGTACAGTTTAATATGTATTAGTTATATTCATATTATATGCAACCATCACCAACCACCATCCAGCTCCAGAACTTTTCCATCATCATAAACAGAAACTCTGTACCCATGAAATAACTCCCCACTCCCCCACCCCTCAGCTCCTGGTAACTCCTCTTTTACTTTGTCTCTGTAGATTTGTCCACTCTGGGTACTTCATAGTGAGGTGGAATATAATACTTGTCCTCTGGCTTATTTCACTCAGCATAATGTGTTCAGGTTCATCATCATAGGATGTACCAGTACTTCATTTATTTCTTTTTTGTATAGTATCTTTGGGGGGGGGCATAAAATACACATAAAGTTTACCATTTTAATCATTTTAAAATGTACAATTAAGTGACAGCCATTCACAGTGTTTTGTAGCCATCACCATGATCTAGTTCCAGAACATTTTTAGCATCCAAGCACATTAAGCAGTCACTCCCCATCTCCTCCACCAGCCCCTGGCCACCACTAATCTGCTTTCTGTCTCTATGAATTTGCCTTTTCTGGATATTTCATATAAATGGAATCATACATAAGCATTTTGTGCCTGGCTTATTTCACTTAGCATAATGTTTTCAAAGTTTATTCATGTCATAACATGTATCAGTTCTCCCTTTCCTCTTACAGCCAAATAATATTCTGTAGTATAACTACACTATATTTTTTTATCCATTCATCAGCTGATGGGCATTTAAACTGTTTCCGCTTTTTGTGCATTAATAATAATACTGCTGTGAATGGCATTATTGAATACTTTTGCTATAACCATCATATAAGTCTTGTGTAAGTCTTCATGTGGGCATAAATTTTCATTTATCTTAAATATATACTGAGAAGTGACATTGCTAGTCAATTAGTAATTCTGTGTTTAAATTTTTGAGGAACTGTCAGACTTTTCCAAAGTGGTCACACCATTTCATATATCTACCAGCAATGTATGAGGTTCCCATTTCTCCACAGCCTCACCAGCAGTTGTTAAATGTCTATTTTATTATAACAATCCTAGTGAGTGTGGAGTGGTGTAAGTCGTTGTGGTTTTCATTTGCATTTCCCTGATGCCAATGATGTTGAGCATCTTACTGGCTATTCACAGTATAGAGCTTCTTTGAGAATAGCCAAAGAAGCCTGGCCTATTTTTCAGTTGAGAGCCTGGCCTATTTTTCAGTTGCATCATTTCTTAATAGTTGTAAGAGTCTTTTATGTATTCTAGATGTAAGTCCCTTATCAGATACATGATTTACAAATATTTTCCACCATTCTGTGGGTTGTCTTTTTACTTTTTTGACAGTGTCCTTTGCAGCACAAAAGTTTTCGGTTTTGGTGATGTCCAGTTTATATGCTTTTTCTCTTGTTGCTTGTGCTTTTGGTTTCATATGTAAGAATCACTGCCTAATCCAAAGGTGTGAAGCTTTATGCCTATGTTCCCTTTGAAGAGTTTTGTACTTCTGGCTCTTATGTTTATGGTGTAAGGTAGGGGGTCCAACTTCATTCTTTTTCATGTGGATCTCTAGTTTTCCCAACACCATTTGTTGAAAAGACTGTTCTTTCTCCTTAACCATTTTTAACCATTGAATTGTCTTTGGCACCCTGGTCAGAAAAATCATCTGGTCTTAAATATTTGTGAGGATTTATTTATGGACTCTGAACTCTATTCCATTCATATGTATGTCTATCTTGTTTTCTTTTAAAAACTCATGAATTTAAAGAGGGTGTTTACAAAAGTATGTTTTTGCCCCATTGTTTTATAATCTCTGTTTGCGGTTTCCTCTGTTTGTTTGGTCCCAAAAGTGTCTCCTATTTTCTCTACAGTTATATCTCATTTTGTGCATAACGTCATCTGAGAAGGGAGTGCCTGGTGGGTAAGAGGAATGTTAATGTCATTGGGATGGTGAAGTTCCCATTTTTTTAAAGACTGTTTGAACACAGGAATCTTCAGTTGGCAATGATGGCATAAAATGATTAAAATAAGGAAGCTTCTGGTTCAAAGACTTTCTTATCTTATTTAGATTTGAGATGCACTACCATGAAAGTATGCTCAATTAATGGTTATAACTTTTCTTTGAGAAAGTAGGCATTTCAGACCTGTCAAAACTTACGATTATACTTCTTTGCAGAGCTCCTGAGTTGGAGGTAGAAGAAGAAGCTCAAGTTCAAGAGATGACCCTAGATGAGTGGAAAAATCTTCAGGAACAGACCAGACCAAAGCCTGAGTTTAACATCCGGAAACCGGAATCCACTGTCCCTTCCAAAGCAGTGGTGATACACAAGTCCAAATACAGAGATGATGTAAGCATGACATTTTGTATCTGGAGGCAAACCTCACTGTTAACTTACTGGGAACCACCTGGACCTCTCCACTTCTGTTCTGAAAATGGAACATTGGTAGTTGGCATTCTAGTTTCTACCTATGAGTAATCGGAGATGATGTGTGCCTAATTTTACTGTACCTTCAGGGTTCATTAAGAAACAGAATTGAAGCTTGACTTACCAGCGCTTAATACAGAGCAGTGGTAGAGCACACTCTGCCCAGCCCGGAGCTGTGCTGGCCTGGGCAAATACTCTATGTTAACTGCATTTGTTTTGTCTCAGAAGAGGTACAGGATGTATTGTGAGCATTGCCATTTCAAAGGGTAACGATCAGCATTTTCATTAGGTTGCCTCTAGTTCTCATTCTTAATAAGAGCGTTTACTTGGGAGTAGTGGATCCTTTTAAACTAGTCATAGTTCTGTGCTCCTTGAAGCCTTCCTGTGTGTGGCAGCAGCTCTGCCACTCCGCACGGCTGCCGGAGCCCAGAAGGGCGGCATGAAGAGCTGACCACAGGGTCTGGCTGCTCTGGCCAGCTGTTCTGTCAGGATGCTCACAGGGTCCCTCTCTTGTGATGACCTTATTTTTCATGGTTTATGCTCAGCTCTTTACTGAAAGTCTCAGCTTTGAAAATATCTACCAGCAAAATGGATAAGGATGGTCGGTGAGTGAGTCATTTAATCCCATTGGTTAAGTTACTGAACGGGAAGGTACACTGAAGTATTTTAATTTTGAAATTTAGAATTTGCATCATTCAGTCACAACTGCTTACCTCAATAGCAGTCTGTGAGCAAACTCCCTCTCTGTTGGGGTTACTTACTGATACCCCATGTGAAACCCGAGAATTCGTTCTGTGTGGACTTGGCTGTGTCCCACCGACACTTGGGCTAGTTGCAGTCTTTGAATGAATACTTTTTTTTTTTTTTGAGAGGGCATCTCTCATATTTTTTGATCAAATGGTTGTTAACTACAATAAAATTCAGTATAGGGGGGTCAATGCTCAATATACAATCATTAATCCATCTCAAGCCTAATTCTCGTCAGTCTCCAATCTTCTGAAGCATAACGAACAAGTTCTTACATGGTGAACGAATTCTTACATAGTGAATAAATTCTTACATGGTGAACAGTACAAGGGCATTCATCACAGAAACTTTCGGTTTTGATCATGCA